AGTAAACTGCTGACTCGTTCTATTTATAAGGTACTGACACAACTTTCAAATGATTTTCAATGTCCAGTGAAGATATGATGTGACAGCAAAAACATGGCAAGTGTGTAGAAAAGAAAAGTGGACACGGAAAATAGATTATTAAAATGTGAATGGACTGAACAGTTTTGACTGAGTGAGTGTCTGATATCTTTATGGAATACACGTGTTGGTTCGCAGTGAGTTCACAGTTTTAACGTACAAGTTTGCTTAAATTTATTTTCAAGATCTGAGGTAAAAAGTTTGCTTTAATTTATTTTCAAGATCTGAGGTAAAATATCTATTGTTGCTTTCACTATGGCTATAAAGATAACGCAAAATAATATTCAAACTCACATTAGACCCTTTTAACATTGAATAAAGCACATAATCATTACCTGAGATTATCAATGTCATATTTTGTATGTTGTTCCTGCCGCGATGTTGCAGAAAATAAAAACCATTCCTAAAATAGAATCGCTTGTCGCTTATTGTCACGTGTCGCGGTCGCAGATGGTTAGGACAAAAACTACATGGAAAGATACTTTTTATTGTGTCGTGTCTGTTTGGGACACACGATGTTACAGTTTGATCCCCCCAAAAAATCTAAGCATAAAAGTATTAATACTGACAAATCTAATAATTTAATCTGCAATTAGGAAAAGTAGAGAGAAGAGATCCAGTCTGGGAATGAGCAGGAACAGTTGATTTGCTCATTTGTTGTTAATATTCAACAGGCAAAGTTCTTCTGTATCTAAAAGCAAAAATGTTCATAATTGTTTGAATAAAACAGACTACTGGGGGAAAAAACAGAAAATTCATCTTGTGATTATTTTAACACAAAAGCAACGATAATATAATAATTAAAATAATAATAACAATTTGATATATATATATATATATATATATATATATATGCTCTGCTTTAGTATGTCACAGTACATGTTGGCATTCATGGTTCCTCAATGAACTGTAGCTCCCACCACCATGCTTGACTGTAGGAAAGACACACTGTAGCTCCCACCACCATGCTTGACTGTAGGCAAGACACACTTGTCTTTGTACTCCTCACCTGGTTGCCACCACACACGCTTGACACCATCTGAACCAATTAAGTTTATCTTGGTCTCATCAGACCACAGGACATGGTTCCAGTAACCCATGTCCTTGGTCTGCTTGTCTTCAGCAAACTGTTTGCAGGCTTTTTTGTGCATCATCTTTAGAAGAGGCTTCCTTCTGGGACGACAGCCATGCAGACCAATCTGATGCAGTGTGCGGCGTATGGTCTGAGCACTGACAGGTTGACCCCCCACCCTTTCAACCTCTGCAGCAATGCTGGCAGCACTCATACGTCTATTTCCCAAACACAACCTCTGGATATGACGCTGAGCACGTGCACTCAACTGGCCTGTTCTGAGTGGAACCTGGCCTGTTAAACCGCGGTATGGTCTTGGCCACCATACTGCAGCTCAGTTTCAGGGTCTTGGTAATCTTCTTATAGCCTACGCCATCTTTATGTAGAGCAACAATTCTTTTTTTCAGATCCTCAGAGAGTTCTTTGCCATGAGGTGCCATGTTGAACTTCTATTGACCAGTATGAGAGTGAGAGCGATAACACCAAATTTAACACACCTGCTCCCCATTCACACCTGAGCCCTTGTAACACTAATGAGTCACATGACACCGGGGAGAGAAAATGGCTAATTGGGCCCAATTTGGACATTTTCACTTAGGGGTGTACTCCCTTTTGTGGCCAGCGGTTTAGACATTAATGGCTGTGTGTTGAGTTATTTTGAGGGGACAGCAAATTTACACTGTTATACAAGCTGTACACTCACTACTT